TGGTGTTGTGACGACGGCGCGGCGACGACGAGTTGGCGACGCCACGGCACAGGTGCACCACACTCCCCGACCGTGATGCACCGCCGAAGGTGCACCACAGGTGCATCACAGGTGCACCACACTCCCCCCCGACCGTGGTGCACCAGCCCCCGCCCGACCTGCCCGGAATAAAAACATTTCACGTGGTGTTGTGACGACGGCGCGGCGACGACGAGTTGGCGACGCCACGGCACAGGTGCACCACACTCCCCGACCGTGATGCACCGCCGAAGGTGCACCACAGGTGCATCACAGGTGCACCACACTCCCCCAACTCACAGCGATAACCCGCACAGCCCTGAAACTGCATGAAAGTGCGACCTCTCTCTTATGAAGCGGGGGTTTGGACCCACAATCGATCGTCTAGAAGGAAGCTGATTCAAAATCGAAAGGGTGTTGAGCCTACAGCCTCGGGCTAAAAACGAAAGATCGATGGGGCTCAGGGCCGTAGGACGCAACGATCTTCGGCCTTTTAGGCCCAAAATTTTAGGACCGAGCGAATCGCAGCTCGACGATTGTGGACCCGAGCGGAGCGAACGAGCTCACGGAGCGAACGGAGCGAGCGAGGGAGCGGAGCGAGCGAGTGAGCGGAGAGAGCGGAGTGAGAGAGTGAGGGTAGCGAGAGAGTCCACAATCGTCGAGCTGCGATTGCGAGGAAAATTTTGGGCCTAAAAGGCCGAAGATCGTTGCGTCCTACGGCCCTGAGCCCCATCGATCTTTCGTTTTTGGCCCGAGGCTGTAGGCTCAACACCCTTTCGATTTTGAATCAGCTTCCTTCTAGACGATCGATTGTGGGTCCAAACCCCCGCTTCATAAGAGAGAGCTGGCAATATCATCATTGTTCAGGTTGCTAGGGTGGAAGTCTCGGAGGACAAAGACAAGCCCTTTGCTGAGAGTTTTGCTGCGCTTGGGGTACGGGTTAGCTTTGAACGATTTTTGCAAGGGGAAGTCCTGTTCCATAATACGGACAAGCGCATCTTGGAGGTTTCGGCCACGCTGCGCCATGCAGCTGATGATCCAGCTCTCACCCAGAAGGACCTGTCGCGCATTCGGGGTCGCATGGTCTTCGCAGGGGGCCAGCTCTTCGGAAGAGCCGGCCGGCTATGCGTGGCCGCCCTAGCTGGTGAAGGTTGCTCGACCAAGGCTGGTGAAGGTTGCTCGACCAAGGCAAACCTTAGCAACGACGCAAAGCAAGCCATGCTTCAGTTTGCCGACCTGCTTGAAGCCAATTGGCCGCGCGTGCTGAGAGATGTGTCGGCAGATCCAGTGTATATCTTCACTGATGCCTCGTATTCCGAGGTGAGGGGAGGTACTTTCTGCGGCATAGACGGAGTCTGCTTTGACCACAAAAGTCATCCCCTTGGATTTTTCTCCGAAGAATTGTCCTGTTTCCAGAAGCGTCTACTAGGAGAGGGCAGGTGACCATCATCTTCGAGGCGGAACTTGCAACAATCGTGATCGCTTATGTCTTGGAGCTGTGCTCTATCACGTTTTGAGCCCGGCTCTTTACAAGAAAGCCCCTACTGCTTTTTAACCCTAATTCCTGGTGGTTTAACCCTTATTTCTGGAAGGATTTAACCCTTATTTCTGGGGGGGTGGCCCTTATTCTGGAAGCATTTAACCTTATTCCTGGTAGGATTTAACACTTATTTCTGGTAGGATTTAACGCTCATTTCTGGTAGGATTTAACCCTTATTGCTGGTGGGATTTAACCCTTATTCCTGGTACGGTATAATCGTTACTTGTGGTAGGATTTGATCTTCCTGTGGGATTGAGCCGGATGACCCCAGCTTGTGTTTGCATACATTGCGAGTCGAGTTGACAAGAGACAAATACGCATCCCGAAATCCAGACTTCAGGGCCAATATTTGAGCCTGGAGCGGGCTTTTGTGTCCCAGGATTTAACCCTTATTTTCCCCAGAATAAGCGTTAAATCCGGACCAAGAAATAAGCGTTAAATGTCCAGCTCTTATAGGGGATTGAAAGAATTTAGCGACTATTTTTTCACCGGGATTTAACGCTTATTTTGGGGCAAATAAGGGTTAAATATTTGGTAGAATCCGTGCCTGTCGCAGCCTCCAAGGGAGGGTCCACAATCCGCAGATTCCGCAACGCACCGCCGCCATCACCAACAACAACAATCTCAACAACCACAACAATCACAACATCCGTAAGAAGGGTGAAATAGCAAGCAAAATATGGGAGAAATGCCGGCGAAAGACGGGTCAAATCGCCGACAATAAGGGCTAAAGGCCTGGCAAAATAAGGGTTTAACGCCGGCAAAATAAGCGTTAAATGTCATGCAGAATAAGGGTTAAATATCGGCAAAATAAGCGTTAATGTCCGGCAGAATAAGGGTTAACTATCGGCAAAATAAGCGTTAAACGTCCCACAGAATAAGGGTTAAATATCGGCAAAATAAGCGTTAAATATCGGTTAAAGAAAACGTGATAGAGCCCTCACTCAACTTATGTCTCATGGAAAGATTGGCTTAGGGGAAAACCTGCTGTGATTTTTGTGGACAATAACTCCGCTAGAGACGTGTCAATCAGTGGCACATCACGGAATGATGTAGGCAAATCGCTTGCATCACTTCTTTTAACAGTGGAATCCTTAGCCAAAACTTTTTCGTGGTTCGCTCGTGTTCCGTCACCAGCGAACATCGCAGACACGCCTTCGCGTGAAGTGCTGAAAAGCTTCACCGTGTCAGGCTGCCCCGTCCCTCACTTCCCGTGCGAGGACATCGTGTCCGAAGTCTTGGGCATCTTAGTCAAGTAATACAACGGTTAAGAAGGGGAGAATTCTTGATTTCGGTTTACACATCCTTTTGCAGGCGATGTTTGTTCCGCCAGGCGATGACGTTCCGCCATCCGTAGCTGCAGGTTTGAGGCTAAATGCCTCGTTGCACCAAGGTACCCCTTGTCACCGCTCGTGAAAAACGACAGAAGCTTTCAGGAGTGCGGTGTGTGTCGTGTCTCTCTTGAGTGTGAGAGCGTCGCAAGCCAAGCCACTAAGCCTTCAAGTGCGATCCCTAAATCGGCAGCCGTTTATGCTCAAGATATTAAGGAGGCCGTCAGTGCGAGCGCTGATAGTCCCTTAATATCTTGAGCGTGAATTTTCTTGAAAAATCGGGCCTGGATTTTTAAAGAAAATGGCTGCCAAAAGTTTTCTGTAGTGTGAGCGCCAAGTGTTGCTATATTGCATCTTCTTGTCACCCGCGCTCGTCATCTCAAGGCATCTCAAAGCCGGTTTTGCATAAACGTCAGTGACACTATGCTGGACTTCACTGAACAAGCCACAGTCTTGCACATGTAAGGTTGCAGAAATTTTTCTTTCCCCGCCCACCCACACCAATTGCATCTCAGACCTTGCGGCGAGTGACGCCCCTGCAGCCGAGTGCCGCATGCGTGAATCCAATCCCTTTGCGCACCCCAGCCGATCCGGTCAGCGCGACCGCGCGTGCTTCGCTCATAATGCGTTCTCGGGGAGAATTCTTGATTTCGGTTTACACATCCTTTTGCAGGCGATGTTTGTTCCGCCAGGCGATGACGTTCCGCCATCCGTAGCTGCAGGTTTGAGGCTAAATGCCTCGTTGCACCAAGGTACCCCTTGTCACCGCTGGTGAAAAACGACAGAAGCTTTCAGGAGTGCGGTGTGTGTCGTGTCTCTCTTGAGTGTGAGCGTCGCAAGCCAAGCCACTAAGCCTTCAAGTGCGATCCCTAAATCGGCAGCCGTTTATGCTCAAGATATTAAGGAATTTCCGGACCCTCCGGAATAATATACTTGTCAGAACTTGCACCGACAATGGCGAGCTGTGCAGAAGTTGCAGGCTGATCCTCAATCGACTGACGTTCACCGCTTGTAAGCTGACGACGTCTTGGGAGAGGCGGACACGGCCTCACCACTGGGCTGCGGGATCTGGTGTTCCGACTGCCGAACAAACGAAAGGAGGTCAAGTTTTCAATAACCCGATTTGCCATCCCCTCATCGTGGATGTGAATAGACTGAGCCGTAGATCCACTACCTTCAGTGAGTGTCAAAAAAGGCGAGGGAGGAGGGGCACGGGGTATTGCCACATTCACATGTTCCTGAGGGAGTGATGGAGTGCAAGAAGAGGAGGGAGCGGGAGGAAGAGCTTGAAGGCCTCCAGAAGCGCTTCCGGCAGGCCGTGCCCATTCTGGAAGCGTGTCGGGCGGTGCGAGAGCCCGTGTCACCTCTTGGGCAACTCTTCGTCGAATATGCATTTCCATAGAACCAGGACCTGGAGGGCCTGAAGACTTCGGGAACAAATTGAGATTGTCCTCCGTAGGCATCGTCAGGAACGCAGAATGCTACAAATTGAGGGAGACACAAAAGCTTTCGGGCATGAGCTACAGAACAAGCGGAATACTCAGTGGAACATGCGCTCACACAAAATGCAGACAAATCAAGCCGAATGTGCAGGAGCTTATTTATGCGACTGCCGAGCGAGCACGATTGTTGAACTGGCACCTAACTGGACCTAACACGTCTCAGGATGGGGGACATCATTGACGGATCAAATCCATGCCTCAAATAGGACTGCAGAAGCTGATCGAGATGCCGAGATGTTCAGTGGTAGCGAGCTGCCTAAGATGCCTACCTTGCCTGTACCTGCTACACTTCCAGTTGTAGATGTTGCGAGACCTGGGACTCATCACAGCGAAGCCTTGAAGCAGACATCTGATCCACTGCCGAAATTCGAGAGCGCAGTCTACAAGCATTGTTTGCATAAATCAACTATTGCTGCTGGTGGAAGACCTGGGACAGATCGAGATGCCGTCTACAGGCGCTGGCTTTGCATTCTGGGTCATAATCTTGCTGGCTCAAAAATTGGGGAGCTCATTGCTGAGGGTGCCGAAGACCCTCTTATGTTGATCTCTGATGCTTTTGGAGGGAAAAGTACGAGCACCCTGCTCAAAAGAGCCAGGTTTGTCGCCCGGATGCTTACGTGGGTGTCTGAGCATTGTCAGACTTTCTTCCCGCTGCGGCTTGGGCCCTTGCTTTCTTTCATGCGCAGTTTGACATCGGAGAGTGCCAAGGCCCAGTGTGGAGAGACAATCAATTTCATTGTGCACGTCCTTGGAGTACATGCCGATCTGGATATCGTGAAGCATCCTGTAATCCAAGGGCTTTTACGGGGGTCTCGGTCAACGGGGAAAGAGATCAAGCAATCCAGGGTGCTCACTGTCCGTGAAGTGATGGCGCTTGAAGATATGCTCAGTGATGAATCCCTTGATCCTGTTGATCGGTATGGTGCAGGAGTTTTCCTCTTCCAGATTTACAGCCGGGCACGAGTGTCCGACATCAGGAACATCCATTGTTTCGAGCTCGACCTGAGTGGAGATGACGGGTACCTTGAGGCGAAGACGATGGATCACAAGAATGCGACCAGAGGACGTGGGCTGGGGCAGAGCTTGATTCTCGTTGCTCCGGTTCAGGGTCTGCGGGATAAAGCGTGGGGTATCCCGGCAGGGGCATCGTGGACCTTTGTTGCCTAGACTTACTGCCGAGGGCCAGCGGTCCGGGGAAGCGATCGGGTCCGATGAGACTTCATCGTGGCTCAACGGTCTGTTGAATCGTGCTCTGGGTGAGCAGGTTGGACCAGGGCTAACATCTCATGGGTTCAAGGCAACAACCCTCTCCTGGATGACGAAGGCTGGGTATCCCGAAAAGTCGTGTCTCATTTTGGGACATCACGCGAGAGCTGGGAAGAAATCTCTTTACACATACGGCAGAGACGTGCAAGCTAAACCAGTACGTGAACTACAAGATTGCATTCGTCTTATCAAACGTAATGTGTTTGCTCCGGGCTCGACTCAGCGGCATGTTCAACCGAGCGACAGCAGACATGTGCCAAAGGCTGACGGTAAAGATCCCCTCACCCTCGCCGCTGAGCAGTTCCGTTTTGGCGATCTTGATGAAGTCATTGACGCTGCAGGTGATGTTGGAAGTGAACACGAGCCCTCACTTGAGGAGGGAAATCCGGCTGGTGCTTGTGATGCTGAGCCCGAGCCGGATGCTGAGGATTCTGACTCGAGTACCTCTAGTTCTTCAGGATCTTCTGATGACAATGCCGAAGCCTATGAGAGTTTCGCAAGTGATGCTGCCCTTGACAGTGCTGTGCCCCACCTCAGTAAAGAGGTGGACTTGGATGTTTTCCAAAACCCCAAAACTCGTTCCCTCCATACCCGAGCGAAGGGCTCCGATGGCCCCCTTATGTGTGACCGCAAAGCTGAGGGAATGAAGATTTTTTCGAGAAGGGTAAACAGCAAGTTTTGGATGTGTAAGCAGTGTGAGCAGGCTCGACCGCTCAGGGACGAAAAAAGCTGTCGTTGCATACCTGAGCAAAGTTACTAACCCCAAGAGCGCAGGACCTAGTGGTCTTCGTTGAGGATGGCGAGGGCTATGGGCCGGCACAGCGCTTTGCGCGTGCACTCGCAGTTTTGGAAAACATGTGATGGGGAAGGTTGTGCGAGGGCCTTGGGCCTGCATCGCACATTGTGCCTGCGCTCGCGAACTTGTGCAACATGTATCGTGTGAAAGGCTGGGCGAGGGCTTCGGGCCTGCATCGCACATCCTGCCTGCACTCGCGAACTTGTGCAAAATGATCGTGGTGGCTAAAAGTCTGCTCACCGTCGTGTGGTAGCTACGGGCCTGCATGTCGTCCTGAGGACGAGTGCGACCACATGGCAGGAATCCTTGACTGGCGTGAGTTGCGATTGAGCCCGAAAGGTGTGTTGGAACGTGGTGCTGACACAACTTTGTCACCCATGTGTGATTACGACTTGTGGGGCAGCTGCAAGCAGACTGAATTGAGCCGTCTAATGCACAAAAGACCAGGCGTAGTGCGTCGGCATGGCGGTTCCACTGACAGAGTCCAAGGCCGTGTTCTTGGAAAGATGTGAGACGGCCGGATTGCCGACACCAATTCGGGATATCTTGGTTGGGAAGAATCTCAGCACTTTGGCAAGTCTTGCGTTCGCAGCGGGACAGCGTGGGGAAACACCGAGTGATGCAGCACTCACCGGCTTGGCGAGGGCAGGGACTGAGGAAGTTCCAATTGCGACCCTCGCATCCTTGAGGCGGCTAGTGTTTGAAGCGCAGCTCCTCATGACGGCACAGGTGAAGATGTTGATCGAGCACCGGGCCGATGACCAGAAGGCGGAGTTAGCGACTGCAGAAAGATCCGAGCGAATCCAGAAGCAGAGCGAGCGCTTGGCCGGTGTTGCACTCCGCAACGAGTCCGAGTGTTCTTACGGGTCATACGATTTGGTGATGAAGATGGTCCAAGAGAACTGCGTCTCCTATCGCCAGCTAGATTTCCGTCTCGTCAGGCCGAGCTTCGCCTAGAGAAACCTCGGAAGGAGCTTGACGTGGTCAACTCGAAGATGACCTTGAAGGATCAGACGGTGGATCTTCAATGCCAGCTGCACACGCCGCTCTGCCTTCATCATGCTCTCCATCGTCGGGCGCTTGCAATGGATCTTGTTGGGGTAGCCAGCTACAGTGTCAGCATGGAGTTTCACGAGCACTTGATGTCACACCTTACCATGGAACCACCGCCTGGCTATCATCAGGTTACACTGCATCAAGTTTTAGCAGCCGACCGAGCTGCTTGGTTGCGACTTGCTGAGAAGCTCCCTAAAGGGCTTCGCGCTGTTCCCGATGGTAAACTCCCGTTGGACGTCGAGCTCCCAAAATTGCAGGGCGACCCGAAGGCGGCTTTTCATCTCTTACCATTAGGACCTCCTACGTTGTCATCCGGGAAGCGGTCGCTGGAAGGCGACCAGGGCAACGATGCGAAGATCCAAAGAACTGGAGGCAAGGGCAAGGGGAAGGGCAAAACCAAGACCAAAGCCACTCCTAAGTCGATGTCTGTATCCCTTAAAGATAAGTGGTCGCGAACCAAACGCGGTGTGCCGATCTGTTGGGCCTTCAACACGGAGGAGGGCTGCAGTGCAGCCCCTGCTGGAGGCAGATGCCCACGAGGTGTTCACCTGTGTGCTGAGCCTAATTGTCAGAAGCCCCACTCGACTCAACCGTTCGAAAGTTGCCAGTGGGCGAACACTTCAGAACGCAGGTTGTGACTTGGTTGAATCACTAGAGGTTTTCCTTAACCGGGGTAGGGCTCGCGTAACTGGTGTTTCTGTTGAGTCACTCTTTGGCGTCGAAGTTTTTGCAGGGTCTGGTCGCTTGACTTGCGAGCTCCGCAGGCTGGGGCTTAATGACAGTATTGGTGTAGACAAGAATGTCGGCCGATGCTTGATCGCACCGGTTTTGCGTCTCGACCTTAGTGATGAGCAAGCGCGTGAGTTTGTCGTGCAAATGTTAGAGAATTCCAATTGTGCCTACGTTCATGTTTCTCCCCCAGCCTTGAGCCAGAAGCATCGCAATTTGAAACACCGTGATGGTGCCGATGCTTCATGCTATGCAGCCTCGTGTAGCTTGTTGTACGAGTTCTGCGGGAAGCTCTTTAGCATGTGCTGGTCAAAAGGCATTCTTTTCTCATGCGAAAACCCTGGACAGTCAGAGCTGTGGCGAACGTCACAGTGGTGCAAGCATACGTTGTGTTTAAATTCCATCGATGCTGTTTTTCACATGTGCATGTGGGGGTCTCTTAGCCCCCGTTTCACACGCATTGTTCACTCTGTGCCTACGCTTATGCAGCTTGGTTTTCGTTGTTGCGGTGTTTGTCCCAGCCACACTCATGAATCGCGGAACGTGCTCCATGACTCTACATTCACCTTAGATCTCAGTCGTGCTTGGGCAGATGCAATTGTCGAGCAACTCGTTGCCTTGGGCGCCATACCGCGTGCTCGTTCCTTTGATGAGTCCTCTGCGCCGTGAGGCTCAGGTGGCAGCAGCTTCACAGCCAACGCGCAAGAAAGTGCCCCCTCTTGTTAGTGAATTTCGCTGTGTGGCGACAATTGATACGCCTGCACCTTTTCTCGATGCAGCTTGCAAGAAACTTGAGGCGCCGGTTCCCGTTCCTGCAGGTGCCAAATGTGATTCGACATTGACAGTGCTGCCACCAGGTTCTCGCGTCATGTTCAGGCAATTGCTGGGGGTGAGTTCGCCTGCTTTGAAGCTGGGTTCGGAAACCAGCAGGCCCATTCCGGCAGCAAGCAATCCCGTAGCATCTAGTCCCGAAGTCAGCAAACCCAAACCTGTAGCAGCCGAGCCGAAGCCACCTGCTCAATCGTACTCCGAAGCCACTCATCCTGCAGAGGTTCTTGCTGCATCTTGCCTAGAGCTTGGGTATATTGACCCGGGAAAAAGTTTTGAGTTCACTCAACTTCTTGATTCGGAGCTCTCGGCCAGAGGAGGTGGAGGTCAGCACGAGTTTTCCTTGACGGTGGGGTCCTTTGTCCATGGCGGTGTTTATGGGCTTAGAACTTCATCGGTTAACTTCCCGCTGACAACTCAGGTCCTTGCAAGGTTCATGCGCCGGCAGTGCCCAGATGCTGTATTCACGAGCCTGGCACTGATGAAGGATGTGCAAACGACGTTACACATTGATACAAATAACTCCTTACCGTACTTGAACACTGTGGCAAAGGTCACCAACTTCAAGGAAGGGGGTTTGTGGGTTCACAACGATCACGGCGACATGCCTTGTCCTGATACAGGGTTTGGTCAGCTGATGGGAACGAAGGTGGATTTTAAAGATGGAGTCATTAGGTTCGATTCGCATCTTAAGCATTGTACGCTCCCGTGGACCAATGGGCCCCGAGTCGTCTTAATCCCTTCCCCCTAATATTAAATGGTCGGGGCCCCCCCCCCTTCGCCCTAAATAAAAACTCGAGAATGTTTTTATAATTAGGGTCCCGTTGTTATCTCAACTGCCAGAAACACAGGTTCTACAAGTAATTAAATGATGAAAATGATGACGATGAAAATGATGATGACGATTACGGTGATGCTTGTTATGATGAAGATGGCGGTAGTGGTGGTGATGGTAATGATGACGATGATCATGGTCCAGGAAAAGAAGATGATGATGTTGTTGTTGATAGTAGCAGCAGTAGTAGTAGTCGGAGAAATAGCAGTAGTAGTAGTAGTAGTAGTAGTAGTAGTAGTAGTAGTAGTAGTAGTAGTAGTAGTAGTGGTAGCAGTCGCAGCAGTAATTAGCAGCAATCGCAGCGGCAGCAGGAGCAGGAGTAGTAGTGGTATTGTCAATAGCAGGAGTAGAACATCCGCAGCATCGGCGCCAATGGCGTTTGGGCAAAGGGGCATGGGAAAGTGGGAATGGGTGGGTTTTGGTGGGTTTGCGCGGGTTTTCGGCGGGTTTGGTTGTGCTCTTGGCGGTTTTTGGTCATTTCAAATTTCGATTCTGGATGGGGAAAGGGCCCACGGGGACACCGCCAGAATTGGGCCTGCGACCGTGCCCAAATCCCCTACGGAGGCAGCCGCCCGCCCCCAGAACCATCTGGCCATGGCCTAATGGGTAAACGTCTGCCTCCAAGGCCCTCCTCAGGAAGGTCGTGGGCTCAATCCCCGGGGGTGTCATTTGGGCCCTTTCCCCACCCGGAATCGAGATTTTGGGGTGACCTGAAGCTCTGGGCTCTCTGGAGACTTAAGAAACGCTATTATAAGGGCTGCAAATCGCACCAAATCCGTGCAAATGCACACTAAAACCGTGCAAATGCACACTAAATCCGTGCAAAGACATACGAAATTCGTGCACATGCACACCAAGTTCGTGCTAATACACACGAAATCCATGCAAATACACACTAAATCCGTGCAAATAATTACACACGGAATCCGTGCAAACACACTCTAAATCTGTAAACACGCATTAAAAAAGAAGGCTTCAACAAAGGCTTAGCTAATAAAGCTTTGAATGCGGCTTAATTGAGCAGTTGCTGAGTCATGCAATTGTAATCCTTTGGAAGCATCGTGCCCATCCACGTGCTGGTGATGTGACGGCTATGATTGGGAAACGTTCTTTTCCATGCTAGTAAGATTCGTATCTGAGTTTCATCATGAATTGTTGTTCCGACAGTCTGACGGCAGTACTTTGCTTAATATGATGATGATGAGGAGGATGATGAGGAGGAGGATGAGGATGAGGATGCATCACTTCACGCGTGCGTGTCGATGTTTTATAGATCCTAGGTCAAACGAAATTTTGTAAGCAACAAAATTTTGGGCCATGACAATCTTTGCGCTACTCTTAGTAGTGCTTCACAATCCAGACTTTTAACAACTTTCAATGCTGTTGCATGATTTCGTTTCTCATGTCGAGTAACGATTTTTAAACCATGCGGTCAAACGCACACTTGTTCATGATTGAATCTGCAATCATCGAAGCTGTCTCGAGATCGAGCCAGAATTTTTGATTTGAGGGCTCTCTAAAGGCTTGTAATTTCGTCTAACAGGCCTGAGCCCTCCGTAACTCGGTGTTGCTCTTAGAGCACCGTGCAAGAGCCCCGCCGGGGGCTCGGATGGATCCGAGCTCGACCCTTGCGGCCGAGTCGTCTTCCAGCGACACTCAAGAGGCCATTTCGGCCCACCTGCACGCAGTTCAGCTTCAAGTTAATTCCCTTGAACAGCAGCTTGCCTTGCTGCGATCAGAACTGCAGGAAGTTCACCAACAGCTTGTGAATCTTGAGGCCGAAAGATACCAGCACTCCCTTCGCTTGGGGTGGCTGGAGCAACTTGTGCAGCGCGTTTCACGCGCCTTCCGCTTTCAGTGATTGTGCCTGCACTGGGGTACTTCGGGGCTGTAGTAGAATGGGGGATGATGAGAACAGCTCCCTTCCTTCGAGTTACGGGCTTCACCTGAGGTCGTGCCTGCGAGACTCGAGGTCTATTTGGAAGACCCCTTGGAACAATGCACTCGTAGCTTTTGACCCTAAGCCCCGCTTGCCGCCTCCTCTTGGACCTCTCCCCCTTGTAGTCCCTATGAACCCTTCTGCCGATCAGCCTGCCGTGCCGAACCCTCGCTTCGTCAGGTCGGAAGGGCTTGAGCAAGTGTGTGCTAAAATGGCCAAGTTCAAACATACTTCTTGGGAGGTTATGATCAATGAGGAGAGAAATCTTGCCGTGAATAAGTGGCTCAGCCTTGTCATGGTCGAGCCCTTGACCTTCGGTGTAGCTAGGAACTTCTACGCCGGCAAAGCGTCAGGGATCTCTTCAGGATCGCTTGCAGACAGCATTTCGGATTGCCTTGCTGCCAAGGCTACTTCGACGATCAATGCCAGGGCGAATTGCTTGTTGCGGTTTGTTTCTTGGGCAAAGGGGAACATGCCGTTTGTTTTTCCCTTGACCGAGCATGCTGTCTACGCATACTTCGAGGAGAAGAAATCCACAGCAGCGGCAACTTCGTTCAGGAGCCTTCTCTCTTCGGTTGCTTTCGCTCAGCATGTGGTAGGCCTGGAAGGGTGTGACAAGGTTTACACTTCGGGTCGTGTCCGCGGCCTTGCGTCGAAGCTTTACATGCAGAAGAGGAAGCTCAAGCAACGGAATCCTCTGAGGGTCTCCGATGTCATTCTTCTTGAAAGGATTTGTTGCAAGCTTGAAGACAGGTCTTTGCAGGACCGTGTCGCTGCAGGCTTCTTTCTCTTCTTGATTTATGCAAGAGCACGATACAGTGACGGGCAAAACGTGGCATCGCTGACTGATTCGCCGCTCTACTTGGAGTGCAGTGTGGGCAGGTCCAAGACTAGTTTCACTTTGGAACGCAAGACCAGGTACTTGCCAATGGCTGCCAGGAAAGTGGGCATCAAGTGTGCATGGGCCGATGCGTGGCTTGAGGCTTTGGCAGAGGCGGGTCTTGCGATCAAGCCGAACGACCCGTTGCTTCCCTGCCCTTCTTCGAATGGTTCGTGGAAGATGATCCCGCTTCCGTGCGATCAGGCTTGCTCGTGGCTCAGGAGCCTGCTAGGGAACGCTCAGAGCGATCCCTACCTTGCAAATGTGGGCACACATAGCCTTAAGAGGACTCTGCTGAGCTGGGCAAGCAAGCGTGGTCTGCCCCGAGAACAGAGGGCCCTCCTGGGGTATCACACGTCCCGAGCCTCAGGTGCGGGGTCAGAGCTGATCTATGAGTCCGACGCCCAGTCGGCTCCGCTCAGGGCTTTGTCATCTATGATCGACGAGGTGTCATCGGGGGCCTTCAAGCCCGACAAACCAAGGGGGCAGCAGCTTGCTTCCGAGCTGTCGGCGCATGCCGATCCCCCTGGCGACGAGATCGAGTCATCAGACTCGGAGGGCTCCGAGGACGAGGAGGAGATCGACCACTCGGGCGATGAAGCTTGTGTTGCCGAGGCTTTGGACTGGCATGGGAAGGTCGACCTTGACAAGATTGATCCCTCGTGTGTTTTCTTTCGGCATCGCCAATCCAGGGTAGTGCACATCACTGTTTTCTTTCGGCATCGCCAATCCAGGGTAGTGCACATCACTGCCGACGAAGCCGGTGCCAACCTAGGCTGCGGTAGGACCATTTCGGGTCAGTACAGGAAGCTGGAGGCGCGACCCGCAGTTTTGCATCCAAGGTGCAAGCAGTGCTTCAGGAGATACCTGGTTGTGCAGCAGGGCACATGACTCTGCATCCGGCTCGTGCCTGCAATTTTGTGCAAAAGGGTGATGTCGTGCACGTGCGCTCCGCAAGCCGGTCAAGTGTTGACATTTGTGCTATCGTGCAAGAGCAGCGATCTGCTGGATGTCGTGTCCTGCAAGATGAGTGATTTGATGAAGAGCAAAGCCCTCCTGCAGCTGCTTTTAGCTCGTAGTGGTCCAAGCAACACACCATGGCGGCCTTCTCCGAGTCGGGGCCAGTGTTCAAATCACGATGTGCCCAGGTCGGTTTGGCATCTGCGGATGTCGAAAAACTCGAGAAGGTGGGTGTGGATTCACTCGCAAAGGTCGCTTTCATGACGAGCTACACGCCGGGCTCTGGCGATGACAAGGACCTCATTGCGGCGTTCGAGTCGGCCCTCGGGACGCCGCCCTCTGTAGGGCAGAAAAGCTCCTTCCGAAGGTTATTTCATGAAGCATATGCTGTTACCACTTCGGAAATGAAGATGCTTGTGGAGCGGACGGATGAATCCATCCCAAGAAAATTGAGCGTCCCGGAGAGATCTGAGAGGTTCGAGGTAGTGAGCAAACGCCTTGTGGGCCTTTCGATCAAGAACCGTCTTGAGCCTGCCGATAGCCTCGTCGACTCCTTCGTGTCCCAGTATGAACAGGACAAGCTGCAGTTTGTCCCGTGGGAGAAGCTTGTTTCCAAAGAACAAGAGGCCTCGACAGGGGCAAAGCGAGAGCCTTTCTTCTCGCTGGACAGTACGGGCAAGCTCAGGTCGGAGACAAAAGTTGAGGTCCGTGCCGATACGAGCACGGAGCTGCTCTTGCAGCTCGCGCTTCAAAGGCGCGGCATCGCTATGGAGATGGCGAACATCCTTGACTACCATCGTCACCACATGTGGGTTGAGCGCCTTCTTGCGGCGCGCCTCGACGCACCTCCGTCGACGCACATGCAGCCCACGCTTGATCAGTGTCAGCAGGCTGACAGGAAGCTTTGGCAGCTTCTCGGAGAAGCGACTCGCTCTGGCATCCAGCTCAAAGCTGGGGGGCGTCCATTGGACGCCATCTTCGAAGACACATGGCAGTCACCAGAGGTCCTTCATTTGCTTCAGCCCATGCCTCGGGCAGCAGGCGCTTCAGTCACGCAGCAGGTGGCACCGCCGCCGAGGCCGCACGGGCCGGGCCCGTATGATCGCCCGGGCAAAGGCCGAAAGGGCACAGGGAAGGGTGCCAAGGGCACCAAAGGATCCGGAAAGGTTCCCGCCGCTCTGGCGGGCTGCAGATCATGCACCAATGCTGGTGAAAACATATGTTTTGGGTATGGACTCAAAACGTGCAGGGAAACCGTGACTCGTGGTCGATGCGTGCGTGGCCTGCACATTTGCGCATGGCCCAAGTGCGGCAAGTCGCACCCTGCATTGGACTGTCCGCTGCGTGCTGAGGCTCTAGGCCAAAAGCAGGAGTGACAGTCGGAAAGCGAGCCCTGCAGCTCGCAGCGCTCGACTCAGAGTCGGGATTGCCCAGGCTTGGCTGGGCACAGTTTTGCATCGCCGCAGGCCTTCCCTGCGCCGACAGATTCTCCTTTAGTGCATCTTGATCCGTGTCAGCAGAGTGCTAGTGTGGATACAAGCAAATTTTCTTCACTTTTGCAATTGCTTCAGAATGCTGCGTGGCCAAAGTCTGTGTTGCAACGTAAGTCTGTTTCGTCCGTGAACTCCGCGCAGTCGGGGTATTACAACTTTGGGCCCAGGGCCAGCAATCCGCAACATTTGACACATGCCACCCTTGCCATGCAGGACTTCGTATTGCGCCTGAACTCAGTTTTCAAGGAGCTTCTGCCTCAAGCTTCCTGGAATGCAATCTGCGTGGGCAGGAATACTTTGTCAGATTTCCACAGGGACTCAGGGAACCAAACAGGTTCGCTGAACCACACTTTCACGCTTGGCACCTTCACTGGCGGCCAGCTTTGGCTCGAAGATGCGTCGGGCACTTCTCAAGCCACTGTCGCAGGCGACAATCACATCAGGGGTAAAATCGTAGACACGTTTTGTTGCCCCACTAGTTTCCCGTGCAACTTGTGGCATAAGACGATGCCCTTCACAGGTGAGAGGTGGGTCGTAACACTCTACACTCTTTCAGGTGGGCAACCCGCCACGTTGCTCCCATTGGGTTTTCCGTGTGATCCTGCTGCCGCGGCGCAACAGCTACCTCCGCCTCTTCAGCCTGTTTTGCCGTTGGAGTGTGCACCTTCTGGGTCTAGCCCTTCTGCCCCCGCTCCTTTGGGTTCTAGTCCCGCCTCACCCGCCGACCCTCCTTGCAAACGCTTGAAATCGCAAGCTCAAGCCGAGCCGACTCCCAGACATGAGAAACCGCTGTTTCTGGAAATCTGTAGTGGGTCTGCTATGCTGTCTTATGTTGCCAAAGAGGCCGGATACACAGCCGTGCCCATCGACTGGCATCACAACAAACAGCGGGCGTGTGTGCACACCTTACAGCTCGACTTGCGCCTGGCCAGCACTTGGTCTTTCTTGCGACGCATTTGCTCCGAGTACGATGTTGCTTGGGTGCACATGGCTCCTCCATGCGGCACCGCTAGCCGGGCTCGGGAGTGCGGTCCCGGCCCTAAGCCATTGCGTTCGGTCCGTCATGTGCGCGGCCTGCCCGGCCTCCCACCAGTGGAGCAGGCGAGAGTGGACAGTGCAAACACCATTTATGATAGCATGGCCGCCTTCTGTGACTGGCTGCTGCATGCCATGCCGCATGTTCCCTTCTCCGTTGAAAACCCTCTTCACAGTTACCTGTGGCAGCTCCCGAGGTGGGCCGAGCTGCTCGCCAAGCACTCCTTCGTCACATTCGACTCGTGCCGCCACGGGTCACAACGCAAGAAGGCCACCGCCCTCCTCACAAATTCGGAGCTTCTGCACTGCCTTTCAGGACCATGCCCGGGATGCTCCTCGCACTTGCCGTGGGGTAAACTGGGCAATACTTTTGCGACAGCTGAGGAGACGGGCTATCCCAAACTTCTTTGCGAAAGGATTGTCTCATGCGTGGATAAGTCAGCTGCATCACGAGGGATTGCGCCTGAACGCCTAGTGGCCTCCAAGGTTTCTGCTGCGCGTGCCGCAGGTCAGGTGCAACCTCGTGGCCGCAAGTTTCCGCCAATCATTTCTGAATTTGCTTACACTATGTCAGTCGCCAGTGCTGCGGCTCCCACTCTCAACTCCAAGCACTGCCTTTCGGCTTCTTGGCACGGCGTCCCTGCAGGCGCCAAGCTCCTCCGGGAGTCAGTTGAAAGGGGAGGTTCGCGACTCCCAGAGGGGAACAAGTTCTACACTTTTGGCGTCTATCGATCCATGCAAGCTTTCTTGAACGAGGCAAAGTTGGTTGTGCACCCCTTCGATTCTGCCAAATCACTTCCAGATGAACTTTTGCGAGTCTTGTTTGACACTCTTACGAAGAGCCCGGTTGACACCATGAAGCACCGTCTTTTGAAGCTACAACAGTGGCGAGCCCTCGCCAGGCAGCTTGATCCCGAAGAAGAGAAAATCAGATCGGCGATGGACCCTTGTGTGCGGAAGGTCCTTAGTTGTAAGCGCATCGCACTCATGAAGAGGATCGCCGCCGACTTGTCGTGGCCTGACACGGCCCTCTTCGATGACCTGGCTGCCGGCTTTAAGCTAACGGGGTACTTGGGGCGTACGGGTGTATTCGCTAGTGATGTCAAACCTGCCACGATGGACCTTGACGATTTCTGGGCAAGTGCTCCCCTCCGGAGGGAAACCCTGCTTGAAAAAGTCAGAGCCCAGAAGGACCATGACTATGCCGAAGAGCTCTGGGACATGACGCTTGAGGAGTCTAACAGATCGGGGAAGTGCTGGCTTGACGGCCCGATCGACGTTGACTCTTTGGGGGACAAGTTCCCTGAAGGCTGGAACGCCTGCCGGCGTTTTGCAGTCTGGCAGGGCAAGTGGCGTGCGATCGATGACTTCTCGGAAGCCGCTGTGAACTCTTGTTTCGGATGCTTTGAACGTGTTACTCTCAAGGCCCTCGATGAGATTTGCTGGCTGTGCATGCAAGTTTGCCGTGCGGCAAAATCTTCAGGATCCCTCGATCTTGAGCTCAGCACCGGTGAGAGACTCAAGGGACCCCTCCATACGGCTTGGAAGGACCCTGGCCGTGTCCGTCCTCACTGCAAAACTTACGATCTTCAAGCTGCCTACAAGCAGCTCGCACTGCACCCTAGCGAGAGGCCGAAATCCGTTATCCTGCTCAGGGAGCCGGGCTCCCGCGCCGTCAAGGCCTTTGTGTGCAACACTCTTCCTTTCGGAGCTTCAGCCTCGGTCATGCAGTTTAACAGGGTTGCATTATTCCTGCAGAGGGTTCTTTGGGATTTGAGGGTGGCCGTAACTTGCTACTATGACGATTTCCCGACGATGACCCCTTCGTTCTTGTCTGGCGGGACTGACAATGCAGTTCATGCCCTCATGGACCTGTTTGGCTTCTCCTTGTCCGAGAAAGAAAAGCCGTTCTCGTGCACTGCAGAAACGCTGGGTGTCGTGCTGGATACCTCCGATCCTGACATGGGCCGCATCTTCGTATCGAACAAGCCCGAACGAGCTGCCATGCTTGAACAGTCCTTGGGCCGCATCCTTGAAAAGGGCCAGGTAGACACGCGGGAGCTGCCATCCCTTCTTGGAAAGCTTCGCTTCGCAGATGCTCAGCTGCTTGGTCGCACAGGGCGATTGGCCCTGGCCGACCTCAGGCTCTTCGGTGACAGAGGGGGTGTCTTGAACCTTACGGATACTCAATCGAATGCCTTGGCTGTTCTGAGGGCAAGACTTCTTGCGAGCAGGCCCGTGCCATTGTGACGAGCCCTGCCTCGAACCCAGTCCTCATCTTCACAGATGGCGCATGCGACCCTTGCGAGGGCGGCTTCAGTACTGGAGTCGGTGGGGTTCTCTTTGTCCCGGCGAGGGTGTTGCTAGGGCTTTCGGTTGTAGGGTTCCTAGCAAGCTCGTCAA